CTTGATGTTGGCTGTTTTGCAGTTTTAAAACGGTATTATGGGCAGGTTGTTGAGCAACGAATGAGGCTTGGATTCAATCATATCGACAAAATGGACTTTTTAACAGCATTTCCACAGGCTCGTACAGTGGCATATAAAGCTCAATCTATTCAGAATAGCTTCGCAGCCACTGGATTAGTGCCTTTCAATCCAGATCGAGTTCTTCAATATCTTAATATTCAATTGAAGACTCCAACCCCCCCTCCAAGTCGATCAAGCAATACAGCATCATCCTGCTTACAAACACCTCAAAATATACGCCAATTTGTACGCCAGTCAACTACAATCAATAAACATATAAATGAGCGCACAGGAAATCAGAATCAAGAAATCAATCAGGCAGTTATACGGTTGTCAAAAGCCTACGAAATACTAGCGAATGATACTTTACTCGTACGGAAAGAAAACCATGATTTACGAGCTGCGAATGAAAAAGAGAAGCAAAAACGCCAAAAATCTAAGAAACAGATATCTATTGAGCATGGGATTACTAGTGAAGAAGCTCAAGCGCTTGTACAAGGTCAGGTTGAGGCATCTCAAGCTGTTATGGCTGCTCCAGTTGAGCCGGAGCTCCCAGCTTCTCAAGCAGTCGTACGCCGCCAATTTCGCTGCAGTGGTTGTGGTGTTGAAGGACATAAAATTAATCGATGTCCTAATCGTACTACTAATTAATTTTTTGTATATAATTTGTATGTGATTAAGAAATTGTGATTTGAAATCAATATAGAGAGTTATTTTTCGGGGAGGTGGGCGGTTCGCTTGGGAATTACGTTAGAGGAGATTTGTCAGCCAATAATAGCGAGCCACACACTGATCCACCGAATAGGGGGTAAAAGATATCTTCCACCTTGACTGTACTTAGACACAAGAACAAGAACAACAAGGATCAAGGATTCACACATCTTGTGCATACATAATTTGATATGTTGAGATAAACCGCTAGAGATTGTTACATACAATCTAACAATATCTAGCTAGCTATTGTGATGGACGCTCAAGGCCCAGAAACAACTTCATTTCTAAGCGTAGCAGTATGTAACGTAATTCACCACCGAAGCGGCACCACTACCGAGCCGGCATTTTTTCCCGAGCGCGTACGCGATATTGATTTCAAATCCCAATTTTCAAAGCCACATACAAATTATATACAAAAATCTAACTACTAATACGACTAGGGCATTGGTTAATTCTATGCCCCATAACGTTACAACCACTGCAGCGATATTGGCGGCGTACGACTGCTTGAGAAGCTGGGAGCTCCGGCTCAGCCGGAGTAGTAGTAACAGCATGGGATGCCTCAACCTGACCTTGTACGAGCGCTTGCACTTCTTCTTTAGTAACCGCTTGCTCAATAGATATTTGCTTTTTAGATTTTTGGCGCTTTTGCTTCTCTTTCTCATGTGCAGCTCGTAAATCGTAGTTCTCTTTCCGTACGAGTAAAACATCATTCGCTATCATTTCGTAGGCTTTTGACAACCGTACAACTGCCTGATTGATTTCTTGATTTTGGTTGCTTTCTGTACGCTCATTTATACGTTTATTGATTGTAGTCGACTGGCGTATAAATTGGCGTATATTTTGAGGTGTTTGTAAGCAGGATGATGCCGTATTGCTTGATCGACTTGGAGGGGGGGTTGGTGTCTTCAATCGATATTAAGCTGTTGTATAACTCGATCTGGAT